GAAAAAGATCTTATTCTGATCTTTCTATTATAGAATGCATTGAATAGTTTGGTGAAGCATATATGTATTTATAGATAGGTCCTTAAATATATGATATATAGCTATATTATTAGTATATCCAAAGCATTATGCTTTATCTTGATTGAGAAGCTCAGTAAAGTAAAGAATATATAGAATAGGGGAGAATAACAATCCCTAGGGGGTACTGTATGTAATCGGAAAATCCTGTATTATGATCCCCTCAAGCCTTATATATACATGTCTTTTAGTCAGGAATGAATTAATGAGTTGTAAGAATACTATAGACCAATCTTGTTTCTTCATATATTATAGAAGCCGTTTTTTAAGGAGTGTATTATAAACATTTTATATATTCATTATTACTAGTGTAATCACTTTATTAATTGTTAAAGCAAGTTCAGTATTATAAGTAAAGGTAGTTATAAGATTAATACTGGCTTTTTTCGGTAGCACTCTGCAATACTAAGGGCTGATAACATTATATCTTATAACTGTCCATGTAATTTAACTAGCAATATATTTTTCTAATCCTTTTTCAATATACGATATTAATGTAATTAACCTTTACAATCTCAGAAACATTCTGTTCTTTTTATCAATCTTAGGCAGTATAACTACTTTAGTAAGTTTCCATTCATTAAGGTAGTAACTGAGCTTAAAGCAGACTGTGAAAATCTTATATATTATACTCTTCGTGTTAAGCCAGTATACCTTGAGAAAACAAACAATTGTTCGATCGACTCCAGATGATGTACTCCTAATTCTTATTATATGTTTTTCTATTTTCTTTATAATAATTGTTCTTTTCTATAATAAGATTATTTAATAGCCCTATTCCTATAAAGGATTATATTATAGATTGTTCAATACTTTGAAATAATCGAGTATTATTGTAAAAAGTGCTTTGGCTTTTTTTTAATATCAATAATCTCCTTATCTTCGATTACTAAAAAAGGGGTCTTGAAACTTGCTTCTGAGGTTAGCTTATACTAATTCATAACTTTATATAGTTTCTAATCGTTCTGTATATCGTTCAAGCACTTAATTCAATAGGCTTGTTTCGATACTCGTATAACTCTCTATAGATCCTGTTAAATAGTTGCTATTCTATTAGCAGTTTCAGTTTTCCTAATTTGTATATATATTCAGTATACCTTCTTATATTTATTGGTTTATTATGGGGATAATCGGTAGGGTTTACGACCTTTCTGCCCTATAGTTACTATAAAGGCACTTAGTATACTTATAAGTCTAGCAATCAGTCTATCGATATTATAGATAGATCGGAAATCCGGGTTCTGGAGGTTCACTAAGCGGTTAACTATTATGCCTATTAGATAGAGTAAATCTGAATTGTATATCCGAATATATACTTGCTTATATTCAGAGATTCCTCTATCCGAAATAATAATAATTTGAGTAGTGTGATTGGAGCTATTGTACAGATCGTTATCGATTATCGTCATAATAGTAATCAGATTGGAAAAGATCAGATCCAGAATGTATCCCCTTGTATACATAGGGGCATCAGGAGTTTCGATATATTTTATTCCCTGTTCAGTAGTTTATTGTACAAATGTGTCACCTTGATTGGTAGTTGCTACTCCGAGTTCCTATAGATTATATTTAGTATTGAAATTACTTTCGATAATTATACTAATTCCTAAAGTAATCTCTAATCCAAGTATATATTTTATTATCAATAGATTAAGTGGGATGTAATAGGCATTGAGAATTGAATACTTATTAATATTGATTCAAAATAGATTCCTGCTTTTGGTTTGTCTTATTTGTTTGACCTTCAAATTGTTTCCTTTTTGTATATAGGTAATTACTTGTAGTCTATGCTTAGGGCTATCAATCGCTTCTTAGGTGTTAATCGGCTGGTATTGGTTATATGCAGTATGATTTTGGATTGCCGAGTTATTATATAATTAGGATTCTTAGATATAGATAATATCCATATCAGTCTTTCCAGTAATCTATAGAAAAATAATATAATTGGAATATTCGTATTCTATATTTGTTTATGTGATTATAAGCCTCCTTCCCTTTATTAAATTCATACTGGTTGTATGATTCATACAAGAATGGTGGTGGCTTTGTTGGTGTTTGACTTACTCTTTTTGCTTATTTTAGAATCGGGAGATAAAAAGGTTTTTTAGCTATAGTTATTACATTATAGTTTACTCCTTTGTTAGTGCAGTGCGGAGGATTACGGCTTAGAGTATGAATCGAGTTGTTGAAGGGGCCCTTTCCTGATCAGATCCGTTTAGATAATCGGTTTATTAGTTGTTATTTGTTCTCATAAATAGTAATATAGATTCCTGGTATAAAAAGTTTGGGAATAACTATTTGAAGCTATTTGGCTGGTATTGGAGTAAATGCCTTTTTTTTGTATACTTCCTAAATCTCTCTTTAATTAGTAGTTCTGACTTTTCTTATTTATCAATAGATAAGCCTGATTAGTTTTTTATTGACTGATTGTGATATTACAGGGTAGTTGCTGTGCGCGGATTGAAAAGATCCTAGGCATTCTGTATATTGAGTATCGTTTTAATATTACTTATAGATCTTTCTATTAGTATGTTTAACAATCAGTTCATTATATTTAAAGCAATAAGCCGGGTGATAATATATATACAGGTTACAATATAGCTAGCATCCGTTGAAATATTATTATAATTAAGGGCATTGTAATCTATCAAGGGGCTTCAAGTATTCACTGATATTAAATAATCGGAATAGTTTTACTATCTTTTTGAAACTAATAATTCAATTGGCCCTCCCTATAAAAAGGTTTACCCTATATTTAGAGACTCTATATTATATTGATTCCTTTTCTATCTATATCTTAATCTCTTCTTGAATAATTATATCTAGAAATATTGTAAATGCGTCTAGTATATTGTAAGGAATCTGAGGTATAATATAATTATATTAAATCTTCACAGCTTGAGTATTATTCATATTAAACACGGTAATCAGTTGTATACGATTTTCGTTTTGCAAAAGGTTTTTATATTCCTTTAGCATCTTATATCCCAGAGTTTACCCTATTCTATTATAATAAAGCAAAAGGATTAGTTCGAGCCTTAATCTAGAAACTGTTTTTATAATCTTTAGTTATAATTTGAAAAGGTTATTAACAATTATTTGTTATCCATTTTCTATTTTTATAAGAATTGTGTAACTATTTCGCTTTTATTGTTCGCATTCCTGTATTGTTTCTATCATTTTAGGCATACTTGCCTTAACACTCTTCGGTGTTTGAAACGCTCTTCCAGTCTTGAGCATATTAATATAAGATTTAGCAATTCCCTTTAGGATTGCTTTTATGATTAGTATAGGGATTCTTTATGTAAACCCGGCTTGTCTTATAGTCTTAATTATATTATCGATACACACAAACCTCAACACATCGGCGTGGTTTAGTTTTATCTTACTCAGGATTTTAATATACATATCGATCGTACTTACAATCTTTAAAGTTACTCATCGCTTTCTGTCCTCCTTATAAAATTGATTGATTATTGCTTTGTAGATAGACTATATATTATTATCTCCACTCGCTTCAATTATCAATATAGTTATTATTATTGTTGTTGGAGCGATTGGATCACAACCCAATACACTCGGCAATACAACAGATCACTTACAACCACATATTGACAATATCATGGTATTGTAAGATTCCTTCAATATGAATTATTATAGCGCGATCGATTTAGATTGTAAGTAAGCTATTTGAATGCATGTGACTGGGTCAATTTATTATGAATTGACCAAATTGACCAAATTGAAGAAAGCTGAATAAAAACTTGAATAAATTAGTAAAAAAAACAATTTCAATACAAGTCATTTCAAGTGAAATTAATATAGGGCTATTTAATATAATAGTTAAAGAATATGATTTTGATCAATAATTAAAGACTCTCAATCAATATAAATCTAGATCAAATCAATTTAATACAATCTATTCGAAACTCTTCTTATAGAAAATTGGCTTTAAAATCAAGCTATCAAAAGGTATCAAGCAAAATACTACTAGTACCTTCTTTCAACTCAAAATTGGCTATAGTTATATCAAGTTCTACCTATATCGATTTAAGCTTTCTAATAATAAATATATCTATAACAATATCAAAACTACTACCTACTTTTTTGATTGGATACTCGATATACAAAAAAGAAAGAAAAGAAATCTTCAAAAACCTATCAATATCTCAAATCAATCTACAATTTCTATTATATATGAAAATAAGCATTAAACTAGCAATCAATTTCATCAATACTACTAAAATTGCTATAAGAACCTAGTATCTAGCTAAAACCAAAATTCAAAACGAAATAATTGAAGAAATAGATTCAATAAATAAAGGAAAAAGAGCAATTAGAGAAATAAAAAAAAAATACAAAAAAGAAAAGAGAAAAAAGAGAAAAGAAATGAAAGAGAAGAAGAGAAGAATAAAACCCTCTTCAAAACCTATTATATGAATTACATACAATAGTGAGCAATATGCCCCAATATTTGTTTTCACTTCCCCTAATATTCCATCCCCATTGTGTATTTCAAAAGTTACTCGCTAGTGTCCTTATAGTTTAGCCGTCTTATATAGTCATGGACTGAAGCGGGACGTTAAATTAAATCAATCAATCAATCAATCAAGGTGTGAATTGAGGTGAAAGTGGCCCACTCGGTGATATGGCCCACTCGGTGATAAACCACGTTATATATATACAAAGAAATAATATATATGATACCGAATCTCACATTCGGCACTAAACCATTTATTAAGTATTCTGTTCATCATCTAATCTATCTTGATCATCTCCAACTTATGGGACTTTCCAGTTTGTATTAATATTCATTGGATTAACAGAATGGGTTCGCTATATTATTTAGGGTTTGTGTGGGTGTATTGAGATGAGAGGGTAGGTTAGGCTTGTTCTAGACTTGACTTGATCGATGAATATATTTATTTTGATTTAATTTCAGATATACATTCAACATTTTCCCGAATTTCGCTATCTTTCTCTTTTTCATTTCCATTCTCCTCCCTCTCCCTCTCCTCCCTAATCCTCGCATCACAAACCCCCGGAAATGCACACTCACACCCCATCTCCGTACCTCTCTTCACACTCCTCATCGTGAGACTCCATCTGCCCTCCCTCCTCCTCTTGACCCCCTCCCCCTTCTCATCCCCATCCACATCCACATCAAACTTCCTCCCCCGAATCCCATGCGCAAACCCATACCTCGCCTCCCCCCTCATAACCAACAAACTCCTCTCCCGCAACAAAACCTCCCACTTCTCCTCCCCATCCACCTCCACCTCCGCCTTCTCCCTCTTCCCACTCTCACTCCCATTTGCAACCCCCGCCCCCTCCCCCAACGACCTCTTCGGCCTCCTCACCTTCCTCTCCTCATTAATCCCACACCTCTTAAACCCCATCGGCACCGCCGACCCCAAACTCAAACTATACAAATACTCTCCAAACGCCGAATGCGTATCCACATGCGGCGGGATGCCTGTTCCCGGTGGATAATACTGCACCGTGAATTGATCCACCCCCACCCGCCCTTCCTCTCGAAACGGCAACCTCCCCACCAACTTCCCAATCCAATCTGGGACATCCGTCCACGCATCCGAAGCGCAGAAAGTGGTGTAATCGAAATGCGCACCGTAATGCATCGTTTGTCGCTTACCGATTCCGCACCAACGATCATCTTTCTGGATCGATGCGATGATTTCGGCTTCTTCTTCTGGCGTGATGAAGTTGGAGTAGAGTACTAATCCATTTTCCCAATGCTGGATGGAGGGATTCTGGGGATCGGGAGTGGGAAGAGGATTTGTGCTTCCCATGTTTTCAATACTCTGAGTCTTTCACGTGCAGGGATTGATTGTGTTTTTTGATTTTTTACTTTCCCATTAGAAGTGTTCTTGATGACTAATTGTTTGTTAGTCTTGCAAATTGTTAGAGAGCACTATTTGGGATTACCGATATACTACAGGTGGGAATCTTTTGGTCCCCAAAGAAAATGTTTTGAGTTTCGCATCATAGTGGTCCCTCGAAATTACTTCTCAGTATAATTTCTTGCTATGAAAGAACTAGCGAGGTTTTTCCGAGATTATTCAGCAAGAAAACTCCTCACTTAGCCAATCAGAAAATGGCAGATGAACGAGGTCAGAACGATGGAGTCACTTCGAATGAACTCAATGAATGATCCATTCTGGGCGAGCCAGCTCGCCAGTGTTTCGGAACGCCTAATATTTTCTATTATTTCATATGATTTTTATTATTATTCTTATTTATTTATTTGTTTCATTATTATTTTAATAATTTAATATTTTTATTTATTTATTTTATTTATAGTGATTAACGTCTAATATCTGACCTCCCAAGGGGTATTCTAGATGTACTAAGGAGCGGGGCCTATAGGCTGCTAGTGTTCCAGCTGCTTATAGTAATATAATGTTAGCTAATCAGAAGCTTGTTGCCTCTAATATTCCCCCACTCAGTACCACATATAGCGATCCTGCAACTATTCTGTTTAAGGGTTTGTGGTTTTGTTCTAGAGAGCCTTGTTTTGTATATCGTCCAGATGTCGGCGAATAATCGGATTGACTACTATCAATTGGGAAAATGCTCGAAACGCTTATGGCTGGTTGGTATAGATCTTAGATTGATTAGAATGAAGAACTCATCCTTGGAATACTGGAATAGATTGATATCTATATAATTATATATAGTTTGGGCATATTCTAATATAGAATCTGGATCTGATGAAAAGATCAGTAAAGCTATATTGTGATTACAGAACACGATTGATATATACTATCACATCCCATTCAAATCGTAATCAATTTGATACAAGTAGTTAGTTACTGTGTATTTGATTATTAATTGAATATCGAAAGAAGTGTAATAGACTTTTATCAATCCTATATATATAAATATTTATATTATTTTTGTGATTAAATTTAATATAATAAGCTATAAAGTCATCATATCTGGTTCATATTGCTATAAATCTATATAGTACTCTATGGGGAAGCTTGAGATTTCTTGGCTTCAAGGTATTATATACCGGCTTCTATATATTGTATATTTCGGAGATCAGATTTCTTTTTGTATTTCATTATTTATTTTTTGAATACTAATATTTAATATATAAAATAGAATAAGAATTGTTGATAATGAGAAGGCACAATAGGCCAAAATCAAATGATTCAGTTAAACCCTGATCGATAAGGCAATCGATTGTTTTATTGCCCTTTATTTCGATATACCCAGAGGACTACTTAACTACAACATTATAGTATTGTATTATTTGATAATATTTATAATAAACCTATTAGAAGGAATCAGCAGTGCTTTTTTGTATTCCCTAAATCACTAAGGTACTATTAATATATAGCTATATTCGATCTTAATAAAAGCATTTGATAATATTCAGGAAGCACTTCAATCCCTGCTATACACCAATCGCCTTGATATCAAAGATATACAACTATTCGCATATACGACTATAGCTATTATCGATCTATTACTTATTACAATAGATCGCAAAACCATATTCTATATAATAATTATGTTCATTATATTATTCAAATTCATTTGAGAATATAAAGTAGTTTTCTTGGGAAATTAAGTTCTATTAATTTTTAAATACTTTCGCAATATCCTTTTTGCTTATACTATTAGTTAGATTAGTATAGTATTCAAAGGAGAAGTATGGTTATAGGAGTCTGAGATGCTCGGTTGTAGGGATTGCTTATCCTATTCTCTATAATCTAATGATAAAATCTTTCAATATGCTTATACCTTATTCTCTTTTTTAATATATAATTTTAATCAATTTATAAATAGATATTATATATCTATTATCTAAAGCCGAAACGCGAACCTCAACTTAGCTTGCTTTAATACAACAATTCCAACTGGGAGACCAGCTTCTATAAGAAGTATGGTTATCGGGGTTGTCTTGTAAACAGATAAAGCTCCCTATATTGTATTGTAAATCGTCTTGCTAATTAGATCGATATGTTTTTTGATCCTGATATTGATTGGAATATAGCTTGCATTTGGATATTGTTTGTATAGCCTATCGAACCATACTTCGAAGCCGAAGAGGGCGACAGAGAGTATATAAGTAATAATCGCTTTTCGCAGGCAGGCTGCAGATAGTCCGTAGACTGTATAAACTTGTTGGAAATCATATGTGTAGCACGTGTGTGGTACGTGCACATCATTATAAAACTCCTTCTTCGGACTTCCCGGATATATAAAGCTGATATATATACTTCAATATATCACTCCTTATGTGTAACTTACTGTCTATTTCTGATAGGTTATGAGCGCTGCATTATTATAAGCTTTATTTTATACCTCTGTATCCCTTGAGTTTCGAGTTTTTATTCCCCTACAGCAATCCCCACTCTTGATATTATAGTAAGCAAGATCACTGTCGATATAGTCCAAACAAAATGGGGAACACTAGTCACTTTCAATGGTTATAATTGGATAGACTTTTATGAAGCTATTCGAACTGCTATGATAATAGTATTTGCATTGTCCTTGTGTATGGGGAAAAGTGTAAGATCAGTGAGTGGTCGAGTCGATATTGTTGAATGGAATAGAAAAGCAGGAATTGTATTCTCTATTATTAATTCCTGTATTATTTTTATATATTGCTTTCAACTTATGTATATAATCGATACAGAAAACATTATAGAAATCTAAGCGAAATTCTTAATATTTAATAATAATACGAATCTTCAATATGTTCAGAATCTCTGGTAATAATTTATTCGCGAGTAATTCGATTCTAAAACAGAAACAATTCAATTCTTCTTTGATCGACTCCTGACTATCAATATAAATTATCTATAATAATACAACCTTTATCCGAAATAGAGATCTACTTTTATCTTTTGAATATATTGCTAGATATAGAAATCTAGCAAATATAGCAAAACTTTATTATATTATCAAATATGAATATACGAGATACACTATATGCTCTATAACAAGCTGAGAGAATTCCTCAAGGTATAACAAGTCATTCAACAACAACTAATACTATATAAGGAAATATAAAAAGAAAAGACAATAAAAAAGCTTAAGGAAAAACAAAAAAGGATATAAAGAATATTATAAAAATAAAAGAAAATATATATCTAAGAAAAGCAACAATACTTCGCCAAGTTCTGGTAAAGCTATTTAAACTGGATTTTATACTTGCAAATTCTATAAGAAGAAAGAATATTAACAAGATGTTTATTGAAAATATAATAAAATCAAAGAAATCTGATATTCAAATAAAAAATACTGAGAATAATGATTTTATATAAATAACTATAGCAAATGAATATACTAGTTTCCTATATCCTAATATTATAATGTATATTAAAATCCAAAATGATATATGAATTCTTGATTTGAAAGCCTTTCATTACTTCACTAATTCCATTGAAAATCTCTCTAATATTATATAATGGAGTATTTCACAAAAAGTCAAAATTACAAACAATGTATATTCTATAAGCATTATATACAGAACAGCTACTATTGGAAACTTTATATTAAAAAGATATCTAGTATATCAAGGATTTTCAAAATAATCAATTCATTTTAGTTAGAATATTTATTGAAATAGATCGAAAAGTCATCTTCGAAAAGGGTTTTAATATTATATTGGAAAAATGGTTAGTTAGAAATAGCTATAAGATATATCAATAATAATTATATTATCTGATAATCATTTATTCAATAAGTATATATAATAAATACAGATTCAGAAACAGAAAAGATTGATACGAATAATAACAAAACTGAGATTATATATCAACACTTAGATCATCTCAATTATAATCAATAAACAAACTAAAGAAAACTTCAAATAGATTACACTATACTAAAAAAAAGAAAAATGCTGGTCGAAAAGCTTACAAGCCTTGCCTTATAGAGAGAATGAATAAACATTTCAACAAACACACAGCTATCTATATACCTACAAAACTACAATACTTGCATATAAATTTATTAGGGATTCAAGAATCTTCTGAAAATGGAAATAGATACTTTATTGTAGTTATTAATGATACAATAAGAGGAACTTAATTTAGATTTACAAAAGATAAATCTGCAGAGACTATTATATCTATACTGATAGATCTCATTAATCAGATTGAGAAAGAGTTCAATTGCAAGTGTCGGGATATCGATCATGTGATCTAAAGAGGGCACCGTATTGCACTAGCGCTAGCACTAGCACTTGCACTTCTACTATATCAAGTACTAGTTTCCTATAGTTAATAATGATCAAGACGAATAATATAATCAATTATATTGATAAGACTGAAATACTTTACGCTTTAATCAATACTAAGTTAATATCAATACTAATTAATAATATCACAAATTAAAACCTTGAATTCTACTAGAAAGCATTAAGTATTTAGAAGTAGTATTTAGGATTAATAGAAATTCTGAAGAAACTATAAAGAAAGATATCATTATACTAAATACAATGTGCTTTCTCTTCTTATTGTACTAAAGAATATACTCTGAATAATTGTATTAGGAAAATATATTCAAAAGAATCGACTGGTCAAGTGTGATGAATCGATTTTGTGTTTATTATGTATTGTCACGGCCGCGCCAACTACATGATCTATAGTTGCCTTCGTGCTTCAGGCACAGCATACTAGCGCGCCCTACTTCCTATAAATAGGGCTTCACTCTTCTATAGCTTTTCTACTCTTATAATACAATATAAGTCTTTACTTGTATCTTGATAATTTGTATCATTTTCAAATAAGTTATTACAACTTTATTTCTTATTTTATTTTCAAAGCCC